TGGGCAGCACTCGTGGGTGCCACGGGGCAGGGGCAGTGTGGGTTCGGGCCGGAGCAGCCCCCAGACTCCCCGTGCCCACAGCCCTGCAGCACTCAGGCCTCCCCGGGCCCTCAGCCCCAGTCCAGAGTTGAGCACCACCCCGGCCAGTGTCTTCCGCACCCCCTTGCAGCTTGACCCAAAGCAGGAGCAGCAACTCTTCCGGCGCCTGGAAGAGGAATTCCTGGCCAATGCCCGAGCCCTTGAGGCTGCTGCTGGCGGGACCCCCTCTGGACCAGCCCCTGACCCGGTTCGGGCCCCAGACCCTCAAGCTCCTGACTCAGCCTACTGTTCCTCCAGCTCCTCCTCTTCATCCCTCAGCGTCCTGGGTAGCAAGTGTGGCCAACCTGGGGACTCTGGCAGGATGGCCAACGGGCTGCCCGGGCCCCGAGGCCCAGCCCTGTCCAGTTCCTCCGATGAAGGCAGCCCCTGCCCTGGTGCAGGGGGCCCACCAGATGCACCTGGGGGCCCCCTGGCCGGTCCAGAGGCCCCAAGGACCTGGGCACGAGGCCGGATGGACACACAGCCAGACAGAAAACCCTCACGCATCCCCACACCCAGGGGCCCCCGCCGCCCATCTGGACCCACGGAGCCTGGGTCCTGGCATGCCCTGCACTCAGTCAACCCAAGGGTGGAGCCAGATTCCTGGATGTGATGGACCAGCCCAGCTGACCCCAGTCCTCCATTCCTTCTCCTTTTCCTTTGTGGCCTTAACCCCTCTGCATCAGGGAGCCCCCTCCCCTGCCTCTTGGGGACCAGACCTCATGGGACCAGACCCCTTGGGACCACATGGCACAATGGGACCTGTTGTACATTCCGGTTGGGGGATGAGCATTGCTATTTAATTACTAATATTATTGAATGCCTTAGAAGAGGCTGGGCCAGCCCAGTGAGGACCTCTCCTGAGGTCCTGTGGCCCTGCAGAGCCTGACAGTAAAGTTTTGTTCCAGCTACTTGTGTCTGCTTCTTGGGGACTCAGCCATTAGGCCATCACACCCATTTGGGGACCCTGATTACATGTTGGGATTCTGGAGTTAACTGCCAGGGGCCAGTGCCTGGCAGCTCTGACCTCTAGGCTTAAGATTATCCTGCCCATCTCAGAAATGCCCGGTGCACTTGAATTGTTTACCCTTTTATTACCTCCTGAGAGGTGTGACTTAACAGTTCGTCCAGTGAAACTCCAAGAGCAGTCTGCGACTTTCCAATCACGTTCATAGCCAAGCCCCTCCATCCAATCGGATCATGACCCAATGAAATCCCAGGAAGGACTAATCTTGTCCAATGGGGCTTGGGGCCTGGCTGTGTCCAATGAAATTCAGAAAGAGGTCTGTCGCCCAGGTGACTGGGTGGGAGCGTTCCTCAGCCAATCAGGGAGGAGAGTCTGTCCTGTCCAATCCCGACAGAAGTTGGGCGATCTCATCCAATCCGGGTCCCCGGTTGTTCCAGTCAAATGGAGGCTCCCCCCGCAATTGGCGGCGGCGTCCAATTCAGTCACATGAGGCTGCAGCGCGCTGGATGCAGCGCCCCCTGCAGGCGCAGAGCCGGGTGCGCAGGGCGTGCGCGCACCAGAGCGCAGCGCAGCAGCTCACGGAAGAGACGCAGCACGTGCCAGTTGTACTTGGCGGAGCACTCGAGGTAGCCGCAGCGCCAGCCCCTGCGCACCAGGGCGGCCAGTGTGCGCCGAGGGCCGAAGCGCAGCCGCTGCCGATCCCGCTTGTTGCCCACCACGAGGATGGGCGCCTCGGGTGCGCCTGCCGGCCTGCGAGCCAGATGGAAATCAGGGTCGCTGTGCCATGGCCGGAGAAAACCTCTGTCCGTGGGTATATACACTCAGGAGCATCCCCTCCCGCGGCCAGAGATCCCCAGTAAACACTATACCCGCTTGGCCCAAAGACCGCACGAGACTGGAGACCTCCCACGGACAGAAGTCTGGCTCGGAGGGCTTGACACCAGGCCCAGGATGGCGGAAGAACCCACCCACTCGCCTCCGGCAAAGGCCCAACCAGACCAGCAAAGGCCCAACCAGACCAGCAAACACTGCTCCCCTCCCCATACGCAGCTCCGACCGCCCCGCACCTGGTCTCCGCGATGCGCTGCCGCAGCGTCTTCACGTAGTCAAAGCTGTCCGGGCTGCAGATGTCATAGACTAGCACAAAGGCGTCCGTGTCCTGCAAGTTCCAATCCTTAGGGTCTGGCCACTCCTGGGGGCGGAAGGCGGGAGTTTCCCTAAGCCCCCTTCCCACTATCCGACGCCTGGACCTTCTGCAGGGCCTTTGACGCTAAATCCACAGTTCATGCTCAGGCCTTGGCTGTCCTCATCCTTGTCTGTGCCTCCTCTCCCCCAAGTTCCCTGGGCCCTACTATCCTCATGGCCGCCTGGGGTATAAATTTCCAAACCGTGCCTGAAGCAGGTCAGCCACCAGCCCTCCTTCACTCTTGAGTCTCCTCTCCCCTCACCCCTAGCATCTTCCTTCTCCTTCAGTTTCCCACAGCTCATCTCGGGTCAGGCCCCACCCCTTCCCAGAAGACTTCACTGGTAACTACTGCCTCTAAGCCTAATTACAAAGCCTTGGGCCCGTGTTCCCCGAGCCCACAGAGACCACTGACTGGCGGCAGCTGTACATGGTTAGGCCTTCCTACCTGGAATGTTTGTGCTGCTTAATCAAAACTTCAATCATCCTTCCAGGTTTATCCCAAATACCACCCCCTCTAGGAAGCCCTTCTTAATCCTGCCTACTCTTTCCTCTTCACTTCTCGAAGACATTGGCTCCAAGTATTCAAAGTCTGTCCTGGACTTTGCACAAATTACTGGACGAACCTTTGCTGCAGGTCACAGGAATGAAAGAGCAGAGAATGACCCCCTGCCTAGAAAGTACATCCCTGTGCCTGGCTTCAACCTCTCCCACTACTGCTCAGGGAGGTAAGGCCATGCTCCCCCAGGCATTCATCCTCACCCACCAGCGGAGGCAGGCAAATAGAGAGGCATTTAAGAAGGAAAAAAAAAAAGCCACTTTGCAAAATCGCCGGGTCTTGGGCCTGGTTTAAGGCAACTTCAGGCGGGCAGAAGGGGTGAGACATACAAATACCAGGACAGACATTCATCCTTCAATCCATGAGCACAGTCGGGCACCCTGGGACCGTCCACGCGGACACGCACGTGTGTGCCGAGCATCCGCACCCAAATGCTGTCACACGCCCCTGCCCACCCCTCGAGCTGCTACCTCTAGACCCCCGGGGCTCTGACCGGGGCCAGCACCATCGCCGTCGCGGATACTCAGGTCGTAGACAGCGCCGTCGAGCAGCACCGCGGGCCGGTAGAGGCGCGGCCCGTCCGTGGGACGGTGGCGCTCGGGGTAGTCACCGAAAAGGAAC